AGACAGACATAAGAGCCGAGGGGCCTATTCTGGGCCCATCGGGCAGCAGCTGAGTTGGTCACTGCAGGATGGGCTCCTCACAGCTTCTCACCAGTGCTGCTACTTGGGCACAGCTCTCTGGGTGAGCTCTGGGCTTGGAGGACACTGAGGCATGTCCAGTGTGGGTCTGTGTGAGGCTGGGACGTGGCCGGCCCTGCCAGGAGCTGCTGTTGAAGAGCGCTTGGCAGGAGCCGTGGTGCAGCTGCACTGCCTGACTGCAGGACTCTTTTAACATAGGCGTTTTACTGTGTGTTTGTCCAAAACCTCCACGGGCAACTCTTCTGACTGCTGAGGAATGCTGAGGGCCTCCTCCCCATGGTGCCTCTTCCTGGGAGAGTGGCAGGAATTAGGGGGCAGTGAGGGGGCAGAGGGGAGGCAGGGCTGGGGACCTGGCTGGCCTCCAGTGCCTGTTGATGCCTCGTTGGCAACTGCGTGTTTATATTGCCAGTCTCCAAATTTGGGAGCGGGGAGGGCTGGTGGTAACAGTGGTAACATGGTGCTGGCTTTGCCTCTGTCTTCCTCTGCTGAGTAGCACTTCAATAAGCTATGGATCAGGAACGTATTTATTGTGAGGGATGTGCTGTCCCATTCTGGGGCACCCGTGAGGATGGCTGGTGGGGCTCGTTATCACCTCCCTCCCATGCTGCCCAAGTCATGGCACTTTAGCTTCTCTTGGTAAGTTCTCTGTGAATAGGTGTAGGCACCCCAGGGTGCTGCAGGTATTCATTCGCTTACAGGTGATGGGGATGGAGTCATCCTGCCTGCAGTGACAGCTGAGTAAGCTCCCTGTCCCTGGGGCTGACCCGCTGTGGGCTGTGGGTGGGGGCTCAGCTCCCCCAGGATCCCGCGGTTGGTGGGGCCGGGGACTTTGAGTGATTATGGACTCAGTGGTGTTCACTGTCTGTCCCTGAAGCTTTCTCTCCCCACAGCAGGTACCCAAATGTCAGAGTCTAAAATGAAGCTCCTAATCTTGACCTGGCCTAGCCAGGGCCCCCAGGAGCTGCTGTTGCTCCTGAGAGTGGGGCTGGGAAGAAGCTGCAGCCCAGGCAAGGGAGGTGTTTTGGGGCCCCCCTTGGGAGCCCCAGCCCAGCCTGGGTCAGATAGACCTGACAGAGGTGGCAGCTCCTGTCATGATGGCACTGATGGCTTTAGCAGTCCCTGCAGCAGGAGGGTTGGCAGCCACGTTCTGCTGTGCCCCAGCTTCTTCCAAACCCCCTGTACTCAGGTTTTCTGTCGTGAATCAAGGGGTTCCTTCCTCTGTGTGTGTGTGTGTGTGCGCACAGGCTCCACATCCCACTCTGTCCAGTCACACAGTGAAGGAACAGCCTTTCCCTTCTCCTCTCCCAACTGTGAACTCGGTGCAGCAGCCAGTGAGGCACCAAGGGGTTGTTTGTACTGAGTTTTGCTCTTCACTCTGGCATTGAATAAATACTCTGCTAAAGCATCTCTGCAATGTGAGCTTGTTTTTTGGAGTGCTGCTCTACTGAGGCAGAGCTGAGGCCAGGACTGTCACAGGGCTGGGCTGGGGCTCCAGGAACTGCTGCAGGAACTGCTGCCCAGCTTGTGGTTGCCTCCCCTGAGTGAGGGAATGCTGGCAGAGAGCAGGGAATTGCCCAAATCTCCTCAGCCCGGAGGACGGGCAGCAGCAGTCCCTGGCAGCCTTGGGCATGCTCTTCTCTGCCAGGGCTGAGCACTGCAGGCTCTAGAACAGGCCAGGGGCTGGATCCCTCCTGGATTTAAATTTTTTCCAAGCACTAACAGGCACGGAGCAGGTGAGCAGAGAGCCCTGTTATTGCTGGCTGGCATTCCTGTGCCACAGCAGCATCCTGAGCTGCAATGCCACTGACCCCTCACAGCCCTTTGCTTCTTCCTGGTGCAGCAGTGGCCACTGAAGTGGGTCTGGGGGTTCCCAGGAGGGGACAAACCCTCATGGGTGTCCCTTCTGTTCGTCTCTTCTACCCAGTGAGCAGAGGCCACGAGGCTGCTGCTCCCCACACAGGGGTAGTCCCTGGGCAGGTGCTGCAGCTCAGGATGGGCAAAACAGGCATCCTGCAGACACCAAACTCCCAACAGCAGCGAGGGAAAAGCAGCCTTTCCCAGGGGAGCTCAGAGCTGTTATAACTCAGGAGTGCTGGATTTGCCTTTCCAGTGGTTCTGCTCTGCTAACACTGAGCCAGCACCACTCAGTGGAGCTCCAGCTGCCAGATTCCAGCTCCTTCCCTTCCTGCTCCAACCCCCTCTGGTGCTGGGCAGCTGCCCCGGGCTGCAGGGAGGCAGGAGCTGGGGAGAGCCCACATCACAGAAATCCCCCCACCCTGAGTCAATCCTGCCCCAGCATCCAAGGGGTCATACACAACAGTGCTGTTCAAACAGGTTTTATTAGTAGTTCTGACCATACCACATCTTCAAGGAAAAATAAAACTAACTTAGTTCACAGTGCCAGGCTGAGGTGTTGTGGTCAAAAGGGAAAAAAAGGGGAAAACCCCCCAAAAAATCCAGCAGTGGCTTGTGCCCGGTGTGCATGTGACGGCCAGGCTGGCAGAGCTGAGCCCAGGAAGGGGCTGGACCCCTGCCTGCAGCACATGGACACAATTCCCACTGCAGCTCTAGAGCTGCTAAAAGCCAAAAAAAGCCCAGACAGCGTCAACAGCACCAGAGCTGTGGCCTCAGCCTGGCAGTGCAGGGAGAGAACCTCCACGGGCAGGAAAAGCTCCAGGCAGGGGCTGACAGGCCGTGTCCCCTCCACCAGTAGCAACCTCCTGGCCCCATCAGGGCTGGAATGGCTCAGCCTGAGCTTTGCTCGCAGCGCAGACTCTCCCACCAACCTTCCCAGGCAGGTGCTGGGACAAGAGGGGACCATCTCCCACCCTGAAAGCCACCCAACCCCCCCCAGCCGAGCCAGTGTCTCCACAGCCACTCCTGGCACCACCTGGCTGGAGCCCCCGACCCCACTGCTGGCAGCACCCCAGGAGCAAAGACATTCACATCAACTCAGAACAAGTGCCCCCCACATAACACACTTTATTCACAACCACTCAGTGAGAAGAGCTGACCTTCCTCTGCCTTCCCAGGCTTTTCCCTGCCTCCCTAGAGAGCTGCGGTGGGTGAGAGCAGGGCTTCTGCTAGGCTGGATTTCCCTCCTAAGGCACAGGGTGAGAGCAGCAGCACAGGGCTTGGTGTGTCCCGTGGGACAGGATGGACTTGCACAAAGGAGGGGTCCTGCCTCCCTCCTCCCCCCACACAGGCTCCTGTCCCCCTTCTGCTCCAACAGCAGGGGCTGCCCCTGCCCCTGCACACACAGGTGTGACAAGATTCACACAGACTCCAAAGGAGGCTCAAAGGCAGGGAGGGCCTCTGGCCAGCACAGCAGCCATGGCTCTGGGAGGTTCAGATAGCCTGGAGGACACTGGGCACCACCGAGCTCCCTGGGCAGCAGCAGGGACACCTCAAACAGCCCCAGGGGTAGGTCAGGGCAATGCGTGTGGGGGCACAGCCAGACCCTACAGAGATCCCTGCCAGGTCACAACTCCTCACCTGATGGTGTCCTGGGCCCTGCCAGGGTGGCTGTGCCAGAGTCAAGGTGGGAACACACCACAAGCAGGGTGGACTCTGCAGCCATCAGGCCTGGGCTGGGCACCTGGCAGGAGCTGCTGGGGGCAGGAGGACTTTGGGAATTCCTCCCCTGCAGCCTCGCAGTCCCCAGGCCCAGCACAGCTGCCACTCCCTTTCAGGGCCATCCACGGCAGCACGGAGGAGGGTGGCCACGCTCCAGCCTTGCTGCCCACAGGAGCAGCACAGGAGCCAGCCAGGGCCCCTGATCACTGACTGCAGGGGTGCTCACAGCCGACTCCTGCCACCAACAAAACATCTTCTGGGGTACTGACAGGGGTGCCAGAAGCACAGGCAGAGAAGGCAACAAAGCCTCAAGTCCACCCTGGCTCAGGGATCCACAAGAGTTTCAGAAGGACCAGCTGGTACCACTCAGGGATGTGGCAGCTGGTTCTTCCCCACAGACACTTTCTCATGGGTGCTGAACATGTGCTGCCCAGAGGGAAGGAGCCCAGGGACAGAAAGGGGACAGTACACTTCACTGAGGGACTTCTCCAGCCCCCAGGTCCTACCCAGGTGGCTGCTGGCTCAACAGGGGGCTGAGCAGAGGAAGAGCTCCAGAGTGCTGTGACCAGGAACCTGCTGGCCCACGACTCCCAAGCCCAGCGACAGGCAGGGACAGCTGCTGCTGGTGGCTGCAGGCCTTGGGGGAGGGCAGGGGCTGGCCAGCACTGGCCACTGCATGGGCAGACAGGAGACATGCCCTGTCCATCAGTGCCACAGCCAGAGGTGACAGTGCCCAGAACAGACATGGCAGCACAGGCACAGACAGACGTGGAGCTTGGCAGTGGCAAGAGCCCTGGGAAGGTTGGTGCAGCTGCCCCACGATGGAAGGGAAGCCAGCACAGAGCATCTGCCTGTGAGCAAAGACAGCTCCCAGCACAGTCCCCACCCTGCCCAGTTCTGCCAAGAGCGTGGCAGGACCTGGAACTCTCAGGGTGCCTGTGCCCACTGAGCCCTGTGTCAGGCTCCTCTGCTGGCACAGGATGGACAGTCTCCAGGGTAGATTCACTTCTCTTTCCCTATGGAAAGAGAAAAACCACCATCCCTGGTGTTATTCCAGGCTCTCTTCTGGGCAGCGAAAGCTCCTGCCCCATTCCACACTCACAGCACTCACCAACCATCCCCCTCCCAGCAAGGGCTGGATTCAGGGCTCCCCTGCCCCGCAGCATCCCTTGAAGACACCGATGGCTCCAACCCAGCCCGTGTCTCTGTTGCACCGCGGTTGCCACACACCCTCCCTGTCCCCTGTAGTGTGGAGCACCCAGCAGCACACAACTTCCAGGAACATGGAGATCTTGGAAGGAAGTCCTAGATGGCCAAGCCAAAATCCACAGGAGGTGGAGCTTGGGCAGGGCTTGTTGTTTTACTGCAGAGCATTGTGGATGTGCACTACACTGGTAGAGCAAGAGCTGCATTGGTTTCCACAGGGAGTCCAGAGAGCAGCAGTTCAGACACCCAAGTCCCTGCAGGAAAACTTCCATATCCCAGAGCCTGCTGATGTCCACACAAACCTGTCCTCAGGAAAGAGGGTTCCGATCAGACACCTCGTTTCCATTCAGAGCGAAGGTCCCTTTTCGGGAAGGGCTTTTCCCTTCCCCTCCATGCCCCCTCCTCGCTCTGAGACCCGCCTGAAGTGCAGCACAAGCGGGGGATGCCCCGGGCAGGGCTGGCTCCACGCTCACTGCTCCAAGGTGAGGAGGGTTAGAGGCCTGTGAGATCAACGATGGCTTTAATAAAGATGGCGTCATCACGCACGTAGGAATTCTTGGCTTCCATGACGGAGACGGGGCAGAAGAGGGGGCAGCCGCTGGCGATGTTCATCTCTGTCACGGGGCGCTGGAAGGACGAGGACGTCACGTCGGGCCGGAAGGCGTCGATGATGTGCTCCCGGTTGTTCTGGTCCAGGAGCATCAGGGTGACCTGTGGGGGAAGGTGAAAACATAAGGGAGTGGCTGAATAACAGGCACATGGAAGCCCAGCCCGGTGACCTGCTGTAACACGTGCAGGTATCAGCAGCCACAGCCACCAATCAGAGAAACGCCTCCGAGTGGGGCCAGCAGAGAATGTCACCTCAGTGACATCCTGCAGCCACCATCCCACATCCTGCCTGTCACTGCAAACTTCCCTGTGGCAGCACAGGGCTTTGGGACTGACTGAAACCTACACCTTGCTCACAATGCCAACACTGCACTCAAGTATTTCCCTGAGCTGCTTTCCCCCGGGAAGGCAGTGCTCCCTCTGCATCCATTCATGTCTGGTCAGCCTCCATGTGTTCCCCAGACCTGCAGTGCCCAGGAGCTGGGATCTGAGCTCCTGACACCAAGCTCCGAGGCCACCACAAACTTCCCTCGCTTTCAACCCCTGCAAATGCTCTGTGGGGTTCTGAACAGCCCATGTCACCCCCTGCCCCACAGCACCCCTGGGGAATCCCCAGGGCAGCCAAGACAGAGTCCTTTCTCCTCCTTGCCAAGTGGGCCAGAGTGAGAGTGATGAAAGGCTCGAGTGGGTGCCAAAGCAGAGAGGTCCACGGCTGGGCACAGCGGGCTCTGCCCAGACCCACCTTCTGGTTGAAGGGCCACCGCAGCAGCGCGTCGTTGGGTCCCTTCATCACCACGAAAAACAAGGACAGGTGGGTCCCACGCCCGGTGCCGTCCCCGTTCAGGTACACACGCAGACACATCTTGTAGCCGTACTTGCTGGTGTAGAAAGCTGCCAGAGAGGTGCAGAACAGGAAGAATGAGGGTCCAACCCAGCACAGCCTGGCACCACAAGATCCCTCTGAAATTTGAGGGCTCTGAAGTTTGGAATCTGGGAGGAGCCACGTTTGGGTCTTAAAATACCTGCACCCCAGAGGAAAGCCCATGGCCAGGCAGTGCACGCCCTGGCCCAGCCAGATGCAGAGCAGGCACTGCCAGCCCTGGGTATTCTCCCTGCTGCCTGTGTGAGCACCCCAAAGCTGGAGCTCTGCCATGAGCTGGGCCAGTCCTCCTGCACCCCACTGCTGAAGGAGCTGTGGTTCATGGCTGTAACACTGGTGAGTAAGAAACACAACCCCCCAAAAAGCACCCTCAGCACCCAGTGCCCCCTCTGTGTGCTGGTGCCTCTGGTCGGGGCAGGGGCTCAAGCAAGCGAGCTTCAGTTCTTGCTTGGAACCCACTGCTCTGCACGATGTGGGCACAGCTGGGATGGGATTTTGGACACTCTCCTTTTCCAGCAATCCCAGGAATGCCTGTGGTGTGACACCAGACACGTGGGGTTGCAATTTGGAAGGGGATCCACAGCAACCCACCCTCCCACAGTGGCACAGCCCCTGCCTGTGGCTGGCCAGGCTTGGCAGCACCAGGCGGAGATCAGAGGTCACAGATGATATTTTACTGTGGGACTCGGGTGCTTTTCCCAACAGGCCAACCAGGAATAGCAGAGACACTGTGCTCTTCCACAGCACGAGGAGCGAGACACAGGGGCTTTGTCACCATGTCCCTCTTGGCACTCCCCAGCTCATTTCCTCTGCTCCTTCCTCTCTACCTGCTTCCCCCAAAGCTCTCAGGGCAGATGGTCCCTCTGCTAGTCCAAGGAGGACGTTCCCACTGCCTTCCTGGGGCTTCTCAGCACTCCTGTCACCCTGTACATGTAAAACCCAGCAGGGAACAGGATGACGGAAGGTTCCAGAGTGGTGGGAGTATCCAGGGAAAGGGACCAGGCAGCTGGACATCCTGCTCCCCCTAGCCCAGCAAGGGCAAAGCACAGCAGGACCAAAGCAAGAGGTCAGCAAGGTGCTCCTGGATCTGACAGATGCAACTGCAGTCCCACCCTGGTCTGTCCTGGGTCAGGAAAAAACGAACCTTGCTTGTGCAATTTGCCATTTTGAACTCAAGATTCTGCCCTTTGCCAAATTCTGTGGCAATCATTGTGCCCTCATGACACAGTGAGCAATAATTCCTCTACCTTCTCCTTAACACTGATTTCAGCTGGTATTTCCTCACCTTTAGGTTTAATGCAAACCAAACAATTATAGCTATTTCCTTTTTTCATACCACCCACAGAGAGCCTGGACCTCTCTCCTCTCAGCCCTCTTTGCGGAAGGAACAGCAGTGATCTATCTGCTTCACTCTGAGACAAAAGACCCACTTCCACTAGAAATATTTGTTTTTCAGCCTGATTTTCTCAGCTAAAACTCTACCAGGAATGAGGTTCTCATCTAATGACACTATTGACTCTTGGAGGAAATCAGGCCTGTTCTTTGCATTTAAAAGATATAAACCTGCCTTTTCCAGCAGCAGTTCCAGCTTCAGGCAGAGGCAACTCACATCTCTAACCTCTCTGGCCACATAAAGGATTATCATTAGCAGATTGCAGAGATCAACCAGCAACACAACAAAGCAATGGTGGCCCATAAAGTGGTTTCTTCTTTGATGAAACAGCTCATAAAAGCCCCAACTGCCACCACTGCCCAGCAGCAGTGAGGAGGCACCAGAACCATGAGCCACCATTCTGGGATGAGCTGTGCACTCAGAGCACCTGAGTGATTCCTGCTCAGCAAAGTCCAACTCCTCTCCACAGCCATTCTGCAAGGCAAGCTCTTCACTGAGCAGGGGAACTATGTGAGGAGCTGGTTTCAGCTTACTGCTCACATCTGGGAAATGCCTTCCCAAGAAAACAACCAGATCCCAACGTGCCGCTCGCTCACTGTCCCAGTGCTGGGCTGGGGCAGTCCCTTCCTCTGACAGATACTTGAGCACTTCCCTAGGTAAGGTTTGGGCTTTATTTCGACATTGTCTCTTGCACAGTTATGTTTTAGGCAGTAAAAATATATTTCTGGGGCTCTAATATGTATTTCCTCCTTTCCTTAACCATTTTATCGTTGGTTTTACAGTCTCTGAGTATTCTGACTCTAACAAAATGGTTATGCAAGGATCGACTAGTCCAACCCCGTCACGGGCAGGGACACATTCCATTAGTCCAGGTGTTCAGGGCCCCATCCAAACTGGCCTTGGCAGTGAAGGACCTACCACAAGCTCCACACCTGGCCGAGACACAAAAGGTTCTGGGGATTTTGCACACCTGGAGAGAAGATGGCAGGAGAGCGGCCTGTTATCGCCTCCTGACGCTTCCTGGCAAACTCCGTTATCTTCCAGATGAAGACCCCATCATAGGTGGAAGCTTCCATGTTGCGGATCTTCTCCTCCATCTCAGCCATGGCCAGGTCTTTGAGGCCAATGCTCCTCTCCAGCTGCCGGACCTGCTCAGTGGGACACACGGTGCAGCCTGGTTAGAAACGCTGGCTGTGAGCCCAGCACCACCGGCACACTGCTGCATCCCCTCCAGGACCACTCCTTCTACAGGAAGGACAGGGATCATGGGAGGGAGAAGCCAATTCACTGAGGCTTCCTTCTCTACCCTGACATTCTGGAGAAGATTCACTGCTACAACTCAGAACTTGAGCTAGAAGCTTTCCCACAGACAAGGGAAAAATCCTCCCAAGGAGCCACTCCATTGGGTGAGCAGCACAAGAAGCGAGGATGAGGGGAAAAAACCCCCAGTAACTCAGCACTGTGACAAAACTAAATTGAGAAAGAAAAGAACCTGCACCCTCCGGAAGGTTCGTCCCTGCCAGCTCACACAGGGTCACGCCAGTTGGGCAGCTCCCGTGCCCAGTGGTTCACTGCAAACGGCACAGCTCGGGGTGCCAGGAACACTGGGAGCACTCCACAGGGACTGTGCTGGAGCAGACTGATGTGGGCAGCTCCTTCACACCTTCAGACTGTGCATGGCACAAGGCTGCAGGCAGCAGCAGTGAAGGCACTCCTTTGGCAAAGGCAGCACTCCTTTGGAAAGGTCTGGAAGGCGAGTGGCCCCACGTATTCAGGGAGGTGCAGTGAAATCCTGGGTGCTCTGGCTCTTGTTGGAAAACTTTGCTGAGGAAGAACCCCTTGGTGTCTGCCCAACTTGATAATTAACACAGATCTGATGCTTTATGCAAGTCAGTTTAATTCCCAGCTTTTCCAGGGAGCTGCTGAAGGCTGGGCATAGGCACAAAAAGTATTTTAGTTCTGCCTTCAGAGTTTCAGGGCCAGGTGGTGAAGCTCTGCTGGCTCATAACAGGGAAAGGAAATAGGAAGCAGCCTCTGCTGGGAGGCCTCAAGTCAGCAGTTACACACCTTGTTGCTCAGCGTTTCGATTTTCTCCTGGTCCAGCCGGTGCTGGCGGCTGTAGGCTTCGGCTGTCAGGGACACTCTCTCCACCTCCCGGTTCAGCACACAGACAATGTTCTCAAAGGTCACTGTTTTCCTCTCAAGGGCCTCACACCTTCCTAAGAGCTCCAGGGATCGGGAGAGCTCTGACTCTGAGCACAGGGACTTTGCTGCCAGCAGTGGGGAGTTGTTTTGCGATGAGGAAAGGGTAGGAAGGGGTTTCAGGTCCCCAGCAGCAGCCCTGAGGCTGAGCACAGAGCTCAGCAGCATGTAGAGATGCTCCGCCAAACACTTGCTTTCATGTTCCAGGAGCTTTTCATTTTCCACCTACACGAAGAGAAACACATCCCCTATTCGGCCTGCACAATTTACACTGTCACCATCCACAGAACCAACTCCTCCTCTCGAGGTCACAACACCAGTGTTAAATTATAAAGGAGAAAAACAAAGAAAGAGATTAAAAATGTGTTTTGGTGGGGGTGGTGTGGGTTTTTGTTTTGTTCTAGAAGCCCTTCAAATCACACACAGTGAGGGATGCTGGATACTTCCCCAGTTGTAAACACTGTTCTGGGTCTGCCTTCCTCCACGCCCTCAGAAGGACTCTCTCAGATGTGCTTGACAGCACCAAAGCACAAAGCCTCACATAACCCCCCTAGAGGAGAGATTTATATGAACATCACCAGAGGAGCTCAGAAAACTAAGTGATATGGAGAAATATGGCCTGGCCCCAGTTCTTTGCTTATAGAAACACAAACTTGTTTGGGTTGGAAGAAACCTTAAAAGCTCATCCTGTCCCACCTCTGCCATGGGCAGGGACACCTTCCACTAGACCAGGTTGCTCCAAGTCCGTCTTCTTCCTGTTGCTTCTCTGGGCAGCCTGTGTCAGGACCTCAGCACCCTCACAGGGAAGAATTTCTTCTAAGGTCTCATCTAACCCTGTCCTGTCAGTCGAAGCCTTTCCCCCTGAAAGCAGCAGAGTCCCAAAGCACTCAAGTAAGAGGAGATTTCGTTCCACAGGAAGTTCATGGGATATCCAGACTCTGCACAGCAGACGATGTGAAGCTCCATGTGCAAAAGATTTAAAACACCTTTGTTCAGTTACCTGAACACAAACACCTGGGCCACTTTGGGCAACAGAAGTTTGCAGGTGAAGTCTAACACTGGGACTGAAAGCCTCAAGGTAAACCAAGAGAGGAGCCCTTACCACCTCATCACAGCCCACAGCCTCGAATCGGCATGGCACTTTGGATCTGCCACAGGTCTTCACGTGGTCTCGAAACTAGAAAGGAAAGAAGGAAGGAAGACAGACACTGTTAGATCTTATGTGTCCCCACTGCTCCCCTTCCATCTCGCTGACATCTGCGAAACTGAGCTGAAGAACACCCGAGCCAAGGCTAATCACTAGCTGTCACCATGCTTGGCTAAACCTGGGCACTGCCTGCCATCAGGCAGGACTTTCACTGCATATAAATACAGCCCTGACCTCTGAAGAAAGCCTAATTCCTCCTTCTCTTGATGGCCGGGAGGTCTCACTGTTCACCTGCACGTACAAGGGAGAAAAAGCAACAGCACAGGTATGAGCTGCACGTGCTGAGCAATAACCTTCCCTGAGGGCTGAGGAACTGAGGCAGAGGGAACAATCCCACAAAACAGGGACACATTTCATTTTGGGCACTTCACATAACACTGGTGAGGACGTGCCACAGGTTGGTATTTTTACCTCCATCCCAGCATTACATTTCTGCAGAGGGGTGCCACTGACACCCCAGCACTGAGATGACTTGTTCGGGTTCCCACACAGCATATGATTAATCCAACAAGCACTGGCACAGCATCAGCTTGAGTTTGATACACCTCTCAACAGATACTAGAATTCTGTTCTGAATAACCACCAAATTCCCCACTTAACTCCTACATCTGCTACAACAGATGTCGATTAAAACTGGTTTTAAACCACGTGTTTAAAGGCTTCTAGATCCATCTGGCTTGTGTAATGTGTCAGGTTACTCAGAGTTAACACGGCTGCAGATAATCAACAAGAGTTTGGAGAGATAAACGAAGGAGTTAATATTTAAACACAGGATAGATCACCCATGGGGATCCCCATGCAGGGTTTCAGCTCCAGCCTGCAGACAAGCAGGGCTGTACCCAAAACTCCAGCCCACCATCAAGCTGGGCTGCCCCACCAGCCCCCAGCCATGCCCTGTGCTGCCCATTTAGAAGAACTCTTTTGCTCCTCTTTTGGCTGCCACCTTGCCCTGCTACCAAAAACATTTGCCCATAGCAGGCAGGATGGTTTCAGATGAATGTGCTTTCTGAATATGTTTCCCAAAACTTTAATTTTTCAGACTGGTGAGCCTTGCCCCAGGAGGCAGCAGCACAGAGATCCTACACACATGGTAGGATCCATTAGATGGTTAATTAGAAATCAATTAATATAGCCAGAGATGGGCTCCCTTGCCATAACTGCAGGACACAAACCCAGGAGTGTGCTTTTCCCACAGAGGCTTTGCTCCCAGACAGGAGGTGCCATCAGCAGCACCAGTGCAGACCTGCAAGTGCTGGTGAGTCACGTTCCCTCACACCCACCCAGTACTTTCAGCCCTATGGAAAGGTCACATCCACACTAACAGCTGACACTGAACCGTTCCTTCCACTCCACGTCCTATTGGACTCAGTTTTTCTCCTTGTTCCCAGAATGCCAAGCTTAGCCTATCAGGAGAAACACGCCACAGGGTTGGATGGATACCTTCTCCCTGGGAATCTTCTTCCCACAGCCTTCGCAAGTCAAAGGGAATTCAGGGCAGACTTCATCGTGAGCCTGTGAAAGAATGGACATGAGATATTTGTCTTCTAAATAAAAGCCCCATTGAAGGTGGGTTTATATTTTATTACAGCTGAGTGCTGTATTTACCAACCTACATACAAGACCTTGGTCATGTTGATCACTCTTCACTGCTAACTCATCCTGCGACTTCCAGGCTACCCCAATTTTGGATTTCTACGTAGACTCAACCTCCATTTAAAAGCTACTATAATGATCTTTAAAAAAAATCAAATTACTGCTTTGATGGCCAAGATAATCAACAGGATATTTCATTTATGGCTCTACCAGAAGACATGTAGGGGCAGGATGAGTGAAGTCAGCCACTACCTCAGCAGGATAATTTGGATAATTTTTCCACTGTAATGGTTATCAGTCAGTCGAGGCATGGGCCCAGCACTGGCTCATCACACGCCAGGCTGAGCTGTCTGACTGTATCTTCCCATTTGAATCAGAATACCATTTTTCTAGTAGAAAGAAAAATATGTTTAAACTGTTTCATTTAGCAGCCCCTGCACACAAGCACCTGCCCCTGCAGCCAGAGCTCATGGGTTGTGTGATGGCCAGAGGGGCTGAGCAACTGATCAGGGTAACATGATCCTCTGTCCTCAGTAGACACTTAGGCAGCAATGCCAGCTAAATTGGGAATGCTGGAATATGCCCCAGCTTCTGTGTCATTTCCACACTGCCTAACCCTTCTCTTTACACACTGACCAGTTGAAATAAGGCATTGGAAACACCATGAATATGCAGATCAAAATTCAGATTAAAAGATAAGGGCACTGAAGTCTCCTGCCATGGTAGGGAGAGAAAATATACCAACCAGGAGCATTTCTAATACAGCTGTCTGAAACAAGATGTTTGAAAACTTGTTCACATTTAGTCTCTACTGACAGAGGATCTGTCTTGGGCCGGGAGTGGAGGGGAAACACACACAAACTTCACCCTGTTACACATCAGAAAGTGGAAAATGAAACCATCGGTGGCTCAGCTTCAGCTTCTTGGTTACTCTCTCCTTTTTATGCTTTAAGTGAGTAACCAGGCTCAGAGCTTCACTGCATGTCCCTGGTGACCAGCCAGCCAGCAGGGTTTGCAGGGGGCACTGCTGCCCACATGGACACTCTTCCCACACGGACAGCTCTGCCTGCACGGACACTCTCCCAGCACAGACACTTCTGCCTGTGCAGAGGAGGAGGCCAAGTGCCTGAGCCCTTTCTTCTACCCACCTACTGCTCTCATGTGCCAGAAACACCCGATAGCATCTCCCCCACGACCCACAAAGCACTGGCAGAAGGACAGATGGTCTGGCTGAAGGAAGGAAACTTCACTGTAGAGACAACTATTTTAAAAGAGAGTATTTTAAACTTATGATCTCCCATGCTAACATGCTGGGTGTGAAACTACCACCCCCTCCACACTCCCCATCTCCCAGCATTTATCCTCCATTCCAACTCCCGGCAGCACCACACCCAAGAGCAGGCAGCCCTGCCTGCAGCACGGGAAGGAAACCAGCCCTGCTGAGCTCACAGTGCAAGTGCTCTGTATGTAAATGGTTTCAGACACAGCACAGATCCAAACCTCGAGACAAACATTTCTGTATAAACAGTTTCAGGCTCTTCTGGAATCCCCTATTCCTCCCACCCCACGTGGGTGTCAGAACACAGATGGGTGGTATCACTGGCAGAAGAAATCCACCCCACCCCAGAGCCTACGAGAGCAGAGGTTGGCACTCAAGCTTGATCTGCCACACTCCACTCCCACAGGAATGGGACAATCCCTCTGTTTACACCTTTCCTAAACCCACACCTGTGAGCCTCTGCTACAGGGACGAGCACCACTGACATCCAGGCATTCGCTGGGAATGTTTTTGGGAGCTCTGGAAAGCCATGGCTGTGAGCAGGGCTAGGCAAGAGCAGGCCCTCTCCCAGAAGGAACCAGAGTGGAAATCAAGTTAGACAGGGGTCACAGGGAGGGGACAGCCATGGAAGAATTAAAGGGGGGCTGGAAGACAACAGTCTGGCTCAGACCTTCAGGGCTACTCTGGTTACCTCAGTGTTGATTCTCACCCACCGAGGCACACACCAGCCTGCAGCATCCAACAGCAGGAGCAGGAAAATCAACCCAAGTTAACAGCCTGTCAGCAACATCTGGTTCTTCCTACCCAATTAAAACCAAAACTGCTGATTGATCCGCACATCGATTTCCTCGTAATAAACAGTGAGACAATCCCACAGCAGCCTGTCCATCACCCACCACCAGCAGACAGGCAATTCTCTGGAGAGGCAGCACCACTCTCTGCTCACTGAGATCAGTGACAGAACCCCAGGTAATGCCTGGAGCTGTGTCAGGGGAGCTTTAGGTTAAACACTCAGAAAAGGTTCTTCCCCCACAGGGTGGTTGGCACTGAACAGGCTCCCCAGGGCAGTGGGCACAGCCCCAAGGCTGCCAGAGCTCCAGGAGGGTTGGGACAACGCTCTCAGGGATGAGGTGGGATTGTTGGGTTGTCCTGGGCAGGGCCAAGACCTGGACTGGATGGTCCTATGGGTCACTTCCAGCTTGGGATATTCTGTGGTTCTATCACAATGCCAGGCTTAGCTGCTCCCCTCTCTCTGCCTCAGACAAAACCAAAAGCTGCAGTTAAATCTCATTGCCATTTCACCTCTTAGGGTGTAGCTAAACTTGACTTCAACTATGGAAGAGGCTTCTGCTGGAAATCATTATCCCCACGCCCTGGTTGCAGAGCAAGAGGTGTCCCTGCTGCCCAGCTGCTCTGCTCATAACTTGCCACATCCACACAGGTCCAGTTTTAAGGAGCTCTTGTAACCACACTGGGAATCCATCAGTGTGACACAGGGTTCCCCCTCCAGCAAAGTGACAAGGCAGGCGGCTGGGAAACACCACTGTTGAAGCAGCTGCAGCAAGATACCTCAGCCAGAGGCTGCAGGAAGGTCACAGCAAAGGGCAGGGCTGGCAGAGGAACGAGGGACAGAAGGACAGGCTCACAGAGAGCTGCACCCTGCAGCCCTCCTGCAAAGTCTCCTGGTCTGCTCTGAGCACAACAGCAACCATAAGCAGACATACCTCAAGGGCTTGGCAGCTGTAACGGAGCAACAAAAATGAAGGAAAACTCCCAGGACGGCAGGGGAAAGCCAGGTGCCATGGCACAGGGCACACTGGTGGCTGTCAGGGCTTGGGCAGTCTCCAGTGCCAGCACTGCCATGTCCAGCACTTGGCTCCTTCAGCATCTTAGCCTGGCTACAAGGAAAAGGATGGGCCCATAGAACTGTAGAGGAAACACTGAAAATGGGTCTCCAGTGTAAAAGAGAGGGTTTTGAGGGAACCCGAATCCCTTGTGCCAAGAAACATGAGCTGCTTCGTGCACCTCTCCCAGTTCCCCAGGGGCTGTAGAGTCTCCAAGATGGGAATGTGCCACACAAAGCAGATACTTTGGGATGTCCTGCTCCTCTGAAGTCACCAAGCCCTTCCACACTGGAGCTCCTCCTGCCAGGAGAGTCCTAAGCTGATTCTGTGCCAGGCCTGCTCCAACCTTTCCCCATGCAGGTGGCTGCACTACCAGGCCCATGGTGACCACAGGCTCAGTCCTTGTGCATGGAACCAGCAACACAAAGTTGGAAAGCAGGACCCCAGTCTGTAATTCCCAGTGCCAAGCGGGAATGGGAGCTTTCTGAGACCGTCACACAAACTGGTGCCAGACACAAACTTCTCCCTTTGCTGGGACATGCTGGTGACAGATCCAAGCAAGTTCACTTGGCACCACAAATAATCAAACCTCAAAGACACTGTCAAAACCAAGGACAAAGTTCCCATCAGTAGCTGCTGTTGGCTCCAGCCTGGGGGGTGTAGGGCAGCAAGGGCACAGCAACACAGCACTCCCTCATGCTGCCCAGCACCCACTCGAGCTGAGGACAGTGACGTCAGGAACCCTTGCTTTTGGCATTGGTGTTTTACTCATCAGCTTTTAGGGCTGATCTGAAAGAGGCTTTGCTTTAGGGCTTGTTGGCAGAGGGACACCGAAGCAGCATTGAAGGCAAAGAGCAGGTTCTGAAGGCAGAAAAGGGTATGAGATGCATTTGAAGCAGCATCAGGTCTTCCATCATTTCCTAAAATAGACTCTGCCTTTCCCTGGTTGCTTTGAACTAGACAATGAGGTGGGCTCAAGCATGAGGTGGTGGCACAATCCAGCATACTTTTTCCAAACCCCTAGGAATGATTTTCCTAGGGAAACTCTACTCCAAAACAGAGCCAGAGCTGGACCCCCAGGGCATTTTAGATCAGCCTGAGTCTGACCCTGCCCTGGCCCAGCTCCACCCCTGCACTGCAAAACTAAAAGGACTAAACCTGCTTGCCAAGGAAATTAAAAATCATGGCGCTGGACTATCCTGAGTCTCCTTAAACAGCTGGTTGACACGAAAGAAAGGTTCAAAGCAACTGGGAACATCTGATTGGAGACAACTCTGCAGGTCTTCCAGGCTACAATCAACAGTCACAGTCCAGTCGTGTGAAAATGCCCAAGATGTGCTGTTCACACCCAAAGAGGTCACTACTGGAGAACAACCTGTCACCAGGGAGGGGACATCAGTCACACCGCCACACTAGGGATGCCAGGCACCAGCAGGTTCGTACCAGGATCTGAATGCCCCTCTGATGGCATTTCTGCTGTTTGCTTGCCGGGGTGCTGCAGGGTTGGCAGCACCAAGGAAGAACTTCTGCACTGTGAGTCCCTGAGCACTGCGACAGGCTGCCTGGAGATGGTGTGGAGTCTCCCTCTTTGGAGATATTCTGGAACCATCTGGACGCAGTCCTGTGCCATGTGCTCTGAGATGACCCTGCCTGAGCAGGGAGGTTGGGCCAGATGAGCTGCTGTGGTCCCTTCCAACCTTACCCACCCCGTGATTCTGCAAAAGCACTGCCCGTGCTGACCCTCTCCCAGGACAACGCTCCTGGAGACAATCTCCCTCCTTTCTAGCAGCACTTTCACAAGCACTCAAAGCTTCACCTTAATCACCCAGATCACAAGGGTGAAATTCTCTCGGGTCTGCCTGACCTCCACACCAGGAAGGGCGGTGCTGGCACTGGTCCAGCTCTGGGAGCTGCAGATGGTGGGCAGGGGCGAGGGTGGCTCCTCTGCCCCACAGGCAGCGTGGAGATGCAGGCTGTGAACAGAAGGGTTCTTACAGCAAGAGGCTGAGGATACCACTGGCACTCAGAAAAGGAGAGATAAGATGTATTTCAATGGAAAGAGGTGTCTTTTATGTGCTGGAGAGGCTGAGCCTGTGGTCAACAGCTTAATTTCAAACCCAATTTCTTTCTGCTGTCCAAAAGGTTGGAAGTGCCCAAGGGTGTGTGTGTGTGTGATTTGGTTTTGGCTCCTGCCAGATACCTGGAGCCCAAGGAGCATCTGCCTGGCCCCACAACCCCCCCAGCTGTGTGCATGGCAAGGGGTTTCCTCACGGCATAGAAGGGACACACAGCACTCACTTCCACTTCACATTTGTGACAGACAGCTTTTCATTCTCCAATGAGCAGATGCCAAAACTGTTAATTTTTGGGCCACCACAAGAAGACTGAGTTGGTTTTAGAAACGAAGAGCAGACCCTCTACAGCCAGGGCTTTCCAACCCCATCCCATGCTCTCTGGCACTCCCTGTGGCTTTATCTCCCACCACAGGCTTGGACGGAAACGGTCTCGTGGGGACTGTGAGGGAGGCTGGGCTTTGTCTGTGGGCTTCGGCTCCAGCTCTGGAAAATAAAGATGTGTCAGCTCCCTTTTACCAGAGCAGCAGGTCCTTTTGGTCACCTGCACGTGCAAGTTAGGGATTCTCCCGCCAGAAAGTGGTCTGGTCCTGCTGGTCAGGCTGGAGCAGGCTGCAAAGTGCACTTCACCACCAGGCCAGAACTTAGAGCCAAAACCTTCAGAAAAAGACAATAAATGCTGTACTGAGTTTTAAAGACAAGGCTTGTCACCCTGATACAGCATCACCCTGCCTGCCACAGCACCCCGAGTGTTGTACCCCATGATAGTGTACAACACTGATACCACACAGAGCTACATCTTTGGAGTGGCAGAGCCAGGTGAAAGAGCTTCAAAGACCAGCAGCTCTGCTCTGAGCAATGTGCAAAAGCCTGAACATGAAGTTTTAGTCTCAGCTGAAAATCACCACCAAAACCTGCTGGGGCATTCCGGGGGTGCAGCTGGGAAGGGGGGGCATGACAAGGTGATGGGGCAGTAGGAGCCCCTGGCTCAGGGCCCTCAGAGCATTCTTGAAGGGGGACAGTTTTCCCTACATGAGGTGCGGTAGGGGTTCATCAGCATGTCTCAGTAGGAACACTAGGCAAGAAAGAACTGCCCAATTATGTTGTTCTCCTGGTCCCAGGAAGCCCAGAAGGAACATCCTGTCTGACATCACAGACTTAATTTAAATACTGCTGTCAGGATTAAGCTTAAAAATTAGTTCTCCCTCCTAAACTTGGTCAATTCAAGTTTCTTATGTCTCAGATAATTCTGTTTCTTCCCAGCTGAAGAGGGCAAAGTTAAATCCCCTGTCTGGGGCAGCCAAGGGGAATGCCAAGGCTGACCCCCTCCACAGCCCCCTCCTCCCATTTCAGCCCTGGAGGGAGGGCAAAGAATGGGTGGGATGAAAAGCAAAAATAAAAGGTATATGAGAACTGAGGATATGTTGATAAAACAAGAGAGGCGTGGGCAGCTGGAAGTACTGCAAGGCAAGAGGAGAAATGCACCAGAGCCGAGAAACCACAAACTGCCTATGCCTGGATATCACTGGGCACATTTTGGGCTCTTTGCTTTTGCTCTAACAGGCTGGTTTTAGTTTCTGCATCCCTTCTTGGACTTTCCACCTCAATCTAAAGGCTCATGCCCACAGCCTTCTTTTCTGTATGTACATGCAGGCAGACTCATCAGGAAACCCATACAGGAAACAAGGTCTCTCATGAGAGAAAAAACCCTTCAGCCCCACCACAAACTGCTTTATCCAAATGCCACTAAATATTTACAAAGGCTGAAAAATGCACTTGTAAACCTAGACTTAAGTTTTCATACAGCCCACAGAGCTTAAAGCAGAAGTGCAAGTCATGACCGAGCAGGCTGCACTAGTTCAGCTTTGTATGTCCCTTCGAGAGGCAAACTTTAGTCTGCCTGAACAGAAAGCAAAACTGACATCAGCTCTACTCATTTCTTTGAAGCTTGAGCTTTCCAGCTGCAGAGCATTTTTACCCTGTGCGTGCCCTGATAAGATTAACAAACCAGAATTGACAGTATCTCTTGATTTGCAAGGGGGGAGCAGCCTCTCTCAGCACAACACATGATTTTTAAATTAGCAAACAATGAATTTGCTCTGAGGGACTTTCCATGTCCTGTCGGAAATAGCTCTGAGGGACTTTCCAGAGTGGGAGCGCTGAGCTACTGCAGGACGTTACCCACAGTTAGCTACGGATGCAACACTCCTGCACCAGGCAGCTCCAGGCTGTGGCCCTCAAGGCTGGGGTTAACCAGCCCACAGTACTCAGAGGCTCTGGGCCAACGCAGCCCTTCGTGCCTCCTTTCCCAGCCACATGGCTCTGACAGCATGGAGACAGCCAGCACTGATTAAATGCCACAGCTCTTTGGCAGGCAGCTGGGAGGAGATAACACAAGCCAGACCTTGCCTCCTCCCACCACTTCCCAGGAAAGAACCAGCACAAAGACAGCACAAAATAACCTCCTCCCTTAGGCCGAATGCCACAGAGCAGGCAGGAGAGGCAAATCAACGGTGAGAGGAACCAGCCAGCACTGCTCCAAACCCTCACACACACACAGGACTGCCCTAAGACTCACAAAAACTGGGACAGTGGAGACTCACAAACCCCTGGCAGGGGAGAGGTGTGCCACAGACCCACAAGCTATGGGGCCCACCTCTATCAAACACCCTTTGTCTGAGCAAACACCAAACTGGGGCTTGGGAAGATCAGGTGCAAAGTAAAAAAGAGGCACAGCCTCATCCATTCAGGAGCTCTTCAGCAGCTGTGTGCAAGGTTCTGGGGCATCACACACACCTGCAGCCCTGCAAGAAGTCAGCCTGATCCCAGGGCAGCTCCCTGCTCCTCTGAACTCCCAGGGGGAGCCCTGGCCAGACTCAAGCACTCAAAACACTTTCAGGGCACACAGGGAGGACCTTTGGCAGCTGATGACTTTTGCTGAGCTTTGCAGGACTGTGCTAAGACTTTTCTTAAACCCAGAAAAAGAAGTTCAGCAGAGCTCATCTGCCACAGCACATTCAGCACCAGCAGCTGCTGACAGACATAATCTGGTTTAGTCTAATGAAGATGAGATCACCATAATCATTGCAGAGGGCATCAGGCTTCTGGACACCAGCAGAAATCGAAGCATGGAGCAAACAATCTGCAGGCACCACCTTGGAACCAGGGTACACCCTGTTCCCTGAAATGCAACCCCCAAACTCTCTATGCTGCAGCAGTGTTGAGCTTTTCACCTGACATTTCTTGTCCCACATCCACACCATGAGTCTCTCACAGATCTGTGAATGGGGGTTCACAGTAGCAGAACCATTTAGCACCAACACCCTCATCTCCTGGACCGAACTCTGAGCACACAGCAGAAAGCTCAGACAGCAGGACAAGGAAGCAGAGCTCCAGGAGCACCTCTCAGCAGCCTGGGCTGAAAGCTCAGGCCTGATGCACACCTGTTGCTTCTTCCTTCCACCTTGCAATGGCATCACAGAGAGTATCTCAACTTTAGCCTCGACAAACCAAGGTTAAACCTGTTCCTGACACACATCTCAGTCACTACCAGAGCTCTGTGAACCACAAGGCTACGATCTTTACCTGGGGCAAGTGTTAGAGGGAAATAAAATCCCTCTTATCTCAAGCCCTCCACATGGTGGTTCTGCCATTCCAAGAGGGATGATAAAACTGTCCTTCAGGAGCACCAAAGATTCACAGGTGAATATAGATGCATGTGCTATGGACCAGCCACCCACAGCCACAACTAAAACCTGGACTAAAAAGCTAGCAGGCTCCTTGAGAAGAGCAGAGGTGGAAAAACCATCCTGTCCAGCAGACTTGTGGCCCAGAACTGCCTAGGGTGATGGGTAACCAACCAGTGTCCAGTTCCACTGCCCTTGTAGCTATGGGGACAGCTGAAATGGGGTCACGGCCAGGCCACTTTCCCTGAGCTGCTGCATTTGAAGGAGGTTTTAGGTTAATATAACGCAGAGAAATTCACAACCATTTCATTCACAGCACCATTTCTTGATAGTCTTTTACAGCAGAAAGGAGCTGGAGACATAGCAGGTGGCTCCCACCATGGAAGGGACATGCTCACAAACAAACCTGAAACGGTCTCAGTGCAGCCTGTGCCCTCAGCACGGCTCACAAACCCTCACCCTGGGAATCTCACCAGTTTACAGTGAAGTCCAGGGATTTGACAGCTCCCACCCCACCCTCAGTGGGCACAGACAACCCTTGAGCCTTCCCCGAACACGGGGGGAAGAAGGGAGCAGACACGGCAAGCCTCGGTGTGGCCTGTACCTCGTACTCTTTGATGGTGCCCCTCCAGCTGCAGCCGCTGTTGATGCACACGGCGGGCAGACTCTCCACCTCCCGCCGCGCCGCGTTGTCGGGGAACGCCTGGAGGGCCAAAACAAACAGACCACAAATATTACTGAGGGGTGGCAGTGCTGATCAGGAATCCTAATTCTTCCTGAAGACTCCTCCCAGGCCGGTTGCCCCATGGCAGCCTCAGAGGTGTGCTAATGGCAACCAAATTGCTGTGACAGCATCAAGTGGGGCACCTCCACACACACGTGGCCTGGATTTCGGCACCGCGGAGGCCAACACGGCAGTCACCACTCTCACTACTGAAGGAAAGGGTTCCAAGGAAAAAGGGGTTCTCAGAGCCCATGCTTGAAACAAAAACTGCAATTAGTGACACCAGTGATCTGGTAATTTTTTCTAAAGTGCATTTTTCCTTACCGAGTTTGTTTCCAAAATAGAAACTCCTTCTTCGTATATTCCTTCCTGGATACAGCTGGCACACTTCTGAGGTCCAGCACTATCAGACAGAAAAATAATCATCAAACACAACAAAAAGAAACTGATTTATGATTTAGCAATAAAAGTGACTTCCAGTAACTTCACAAAATAAAGTGCTTTTTTTATTTTTAAAACACCACATTGAGCCTTCACTCGTGTATTTCTGATGCCTATTTCTAATTCTTTTTTCTTCCCATGGTTAACCATTCTATTAAGCTTCCCTCACTTAAAGGTAGGAGTGAGACAGAACACAAGGAAACTTCTCTGGACACCAGCTTGTGCTTAAATCTCTCCCATTTTGACACAACAACCAAATGATGACTTTTAGAAGCATTCAACAGCTGTGATGAAGACTGAAGGAGATGGCTGAATGCCTGGATTGCCTTCTGAAAGGCAAAAGCAGTCAGGGAAATTGTGGAAAAGGGAATTCTGAAGCAACAATGAAGGCAAGTCAGAGACTGGACATTCCCTTAGAGGTGATGCTGAACCTCAGTGATGAAACAGCTCCCTCGCTGAGAGGGCTCCAAAAATGAGACTTTTCTCCCTTTTTTTTTTTCCCGAAAATACCTTTTCAAGCATTTTGTGTCCATCCTGAAGGCACAACAGTTACCTGATGATTTTCTTCAGGCAGTAGGAGCAGTAGCGGTGGCCACACTGCGCCTGGAACGGCCGCCTCAGGATGTTCTTGCAGTCAGAGCAGAGGTATTTGCCCTCCAGTTTAGTTCCCAGGATCTCCTTTGCAAACCCAGGCTGGTTTAGATCCAAAGAATGAGGTGGAGAAGAGTTTGCTGCTGCCATGTGAACGAAAATTGGCTGTATTTCCAGAGACTGAAAATAAAAGAATTTCCTCCATTTGATTATAACAGAATGGGGGTGACTTTTCATATAAACACCTGTTACTCACAGTATCTTACACTGGCCCCCAAACTCCACAACACTGATGTAGACCCCACCACAAGCCTGCTTTCACCTGGCTAAAAGTATGTGAGGAAACTTGAATTTTAGACCTAAATCCAGAGCAAAGAGACAGGGTGGACAGACCCCATAAAACCCCCTGTCCAAGCTGACTGAAATGCAGCCTATTCAGAGAAATCACGGCTTCTGGCCCCAAACAAGGTAAAAAATTGTACTAAAGCTGATGACAAACACAACAAATGGCCCCAGTTCACCAAAAACCTGTTGACACTGAGTGAGGTGACCACAGCCCAACAATGTTTGTTCTCACGCCTGTCAGAAAGCACCAAAATTCTGCTCCAGCTGGTCCCAGGGACACACAGTGCAGCCCAGAATCACTGGTGATGCCCAAGCAGGCACATATGGCTCTCCAGAAGGATGGAAAATGAGGACATGAGAGGTACAAGCAAATTGGAAAGGAGAAAAAGAATAAAATGCTTTTGTTTTAACCACTTATAATGATCTAAAGGTGCTTCTCACACATTCGTTCACTGTGAGTACAGCCCACAACCACCTAAAAATGCCTAAGAGAGTATACATATGGAATCTCAGACTGGTTTGGGTTGGAAGGGACCTTAAAGCTCATCTCATTCCATCTTCCTGCCATGGGCAGGGACACCTTCCACCAGCCCAGGTTGCTCCAAGCCCTGCCCATCTTGACCTTGGACACTTCCAGGGATCCAGGGGCAGCCACAGCGTCTCTGGACAACCTGTGCCAGGGCCTGCCCACCCTTACACCCAACAATTCCTTCCCAATATCCCATCTAACCCTGCCCTCTGGCAGTGGGAAGCCACTGCCCCTTGTCCTGTCCCTCGTCCCTCTCCAGCTCTCCTGGAGCCCCTTTAGGCCCTGGAAGGGGCTCTCAGGTCTCCCTGGAGCCTCCTCTCCTCCAGGGGAAACCCCCCAGCTCTCCCAGCCTGACCCCGCGGGGAGCCCCCACGAGCGGACACCCCGCGACCCGTGGAGGTCCGTGCCGGACCCAGGAGGGGTCTGTGGCGGCGGGGGCCGCAGGCGGAGGGAGGCCCGGCCCGATCGCCCCGGTCCGGTCCCCCCGGTGCCCCCGGAGCACTCACCGCCCCTCGCTCCGCACCGGAAACACCGCCCGGCCCCGCCCTGGTCACGTGAGAGCCCCGGCCCCGCCCACATATGACCACGCCCACACATGGCCACGCCCACGACGGGCGACGGCCCCGCCCCCGGCACCGCGCGGGACCCACCGGGATCCCTTCACCGACACCCCGACACCCCAGGACCCCCACACAGACATCCCCACACCGGGACCCCTTCATCGACATCCCGGGACCCCCCCATAGACACCCCCACACAGACACACCGACCCCGGCACCCCCACAGCGGGACCCCTACAGCGACACCCCCACACAGACACCCCGACACACTGACACCTCGGGACCCCCATACAGACACCCCCACACCGGGACTCCTACACTGTCACCCCCACAGCATCACCCACCCCTGTCACCC